GTTGCCTCGGCGAGTGCTGATCCATTGTGGGCGACTGCATCGCGCCGTACCTACGTTTTCGATCTACGTGTCGAGCTCCGTTTCAACACGCTACGGGTCGCGTGCTGAGCATCGGGCTGCTAAGAGATCTGGACCTCCGACGATCTGATCTGTTCACCTCGGATATTGGACGTCCTCGTCGGCTCCCGGAAGGCTTCCGGCCACGGGATGCCTCTCCGCGGCTGCGCTTTTCGTCGAGGGCGTTGTGGGTGTGCCTGCATCGTCCCGAACGGCCGCCGGAGGTCCGAGGCACGGCCCGAAAGCCGCCGGGGATCATTCCGGAGGAAAAGAAACACACAGACACAATTAATCCTCGATCCCCCAGAAAATATGGGAAAATATGGGAAGTGGGGGAGAAGACAAAAACCCAGAAAATATGGGAAAATATGGGGAATCTTTTTATTTGTGTGTATTTATTTGTGTGTTTGTGGGCCCCTTCAATCATGAGTGTTTCAATCCCGGCGGCTTTCCTCGATCTCGTCCTCGGGGGCTCGTTGTAGGGCCCCGGGGCCATCAGAAAGGGGCTTGGGGCGAAAGGTTGCGCCCGGCGACGGGAGCGGGGCCGTCTGGGCCGCGCGATGGAAAGGCCAGGCCGTCGGACGCATCCATCCAGGGCCGAGCGCCCGTCAGGAAAGGACACGGGTCCTGAGAGTCTGACTGTTCGCCGCCTTCGAGCTCCTCGGGGCCGTCCCTCCAGGCTTCCGGGGCCGTCAGAGAGCGGCTCGAGAGGAAGAGCTGGTCCCAAGGGGGGGAAACCCAGGGGTCCAGAGCCCGTTTCAATCAGGGCCCGCTTCCTTCATGCCGAGAGCGCCATCTCCATTCCCCTCGCGGTCCTCGGTTTTCTGTTGGCCTCGAAGAGCGCTCCTCGTCGCCACGGCTGGACGGACTTGGAAACGCTGGCCAGGAGGGATCCTTCGACGATCCGCAGGACGTGCGTTATGGCCAGATGTGTGTGTTACCCCGTTCAGCCCCAGCCCGTGTCGGCCCTCACTAACGCTGCCTGCGTCGCACCGAAGGGCTTCGGTGGACAAGCGCACGTTGGCGCTACCACACACTCTTATGCTTATCGAGCTCTGGGAGGGGGCCCAGGGGCCTGTGTGTTGGCCGCTGGGGAAGCCTCCTTCGGACGAGAGGGGACCCTTCCGCCCACTGGGGAAACCTGCTTCGGACCCTCTCGGAAAATCAGGGTGCATTTAAATGGACTCGATCCGATTCGATGTCGATCACCAGCGGCCAGGTCCGATTCGATTCCTATGTTCCGACGGCCCGATGCTTGCATAGCGTTGCTGTGCATCCTGGCCTGGCCGATCCGATTCGACTTCAGCTCCGTGCCGATGCAGCCCGATCCAACGTACATTCCGATTCGACCCGATCTCTCGATTTGGTGCTGACTGAATTTGCGGAGCGCGGTCCAATGAGCGAGATGCGTGATGTATATAGTCGCCTGCATGTATACATATATGTATATGTGGATGTACATAAACACAAGTATGCATGCATGCATGCATGCATGCATACCTACCTACCGACCTACCTATCTACCTACCTACCTACCTACCTACGTACAGACATGCATGCATACATACACACATACATATATACATACAGACAGAGACAGACAGACAGACAGACAGACAGACAGACAGACAGACAGACAGGCATGCATGCATGCATGCATACATGTGCATATATGTTGTGATCTATATCTATATATATATATGTACATGGTGTATGGGATATAGAGAGAGACACTCAAAAACAAAATTAACAGTAACAAAATGTGGATAATGGCCGAAGGCCTCGGGGTGGGGGGGGTGCGACAGTGAAGATCACTTCAGGTCGATTCTTGTCGAGGATCGAAAGGACGTGTGCTGGCCCAATGTGTGCGTTGTGCGTGTGTATGTTTGTTTGTTTGTGTGTTTGTGTGTTTGTGTTTGTTACCCGTGGGACCTTGTGAGGTCTCTGAGGGCTCTGGCGTTTCTAGACGCGCACGCGCGGCTGCTGTTCTACGACTTTCTCCGCCCTGTCGCTGCGCGCATGGCCGTGACGCCACATGAGTGTGCGCTACCCGCTGCTCTCCACCTCGGGCGCGATGCCTGTGTCGGCCCTCACTACGTCGCCTGCGTCGTATTGGAGGGCTTCGGTGAGCAAGCACACGTGGGCGCTGTTGCCACGCCTCCCGAAGATCGTGTCCAAGAAGCAGAAACTGCACAATCATGAACTTTCGGTGGTCCGCGCGGATTTCTTGCATCGGCGCTGCGGCCCTCCTGGCGGCGCTTCCGGCGCCGCCCCTGGCGCGCTCCCGGGGCCCAGCGCCGATCCGAGAAATCCGCGCGGAGCTTCGAGAGTTGGCACCGCTCGGACATGTGCAGCTTCTGTCGGCGAGGACCATCGAGGAGCACAGTCGGGGCCCTGAAGAAGGAACCCTTTTTGTTGGGGAGGGGCTCCGCGTTCCTTAAGTGTTTCACAGTTTGCCTCAGGTTGTCCTTATGTTTTCGATAGGAAATCGAAGTTTAACTTATGGAAAAGAGGGGCCTCGTTCCTTATTTAGGGTTCCTTAGGTCAACGCCCCGACTGTAGGGTGGATCCTCGTGCGAGACAGAAACGCACGAAACCGAAAAAAACAAAAAAATGCACGGGGGATGGACGTCCGAGAGCGATGGTGAAGGGCAGGGGTCCCCGCGTGAGACGGGCCACCCAGAGTCCTGGGGCTCTGCCAGGGACCGGCTCTCCTCCCTCATCATCATCATCATCATCATCATCATTCGGGAGCCTTGAGACGGGGGTCAATGCAAACGGGGGTCAGCCAGAGCGCCAGATCCTGCAGGATCCTGCGAAGACCCCCTCTGGCTGACCCGGGTTAGCGAGCCGCTCGTGGCCGCGAGGCGGCCGCACATATTGGCTGACCCGGGTTTGCGAAGACCTGCGTTGCAGTTTGTTTTCCTGCATTGCAGTTTTTGGTTTCCTGCTGACCCGGGTCTGGATTGACCCGGGTCAGAAGATCCCCGAATCATCATCATCATCATCATCATCATCATCATCATCATCATCATCATCATCATCATCATCATCATCATCATCATCATCATAATCATAATCATCATCATCAGTATCAGTCATCATCATCATCAGTCATCATCATCACCAGTCATCATCATCATCAGCCATCAGGCATCATCATCATTCTTCATCAGTCATCATCATAATCATCATCAGTCATCATCATCACCAGTCATCATCATCATCATCATCATCATCATCATCATCATCATCATCATCATCATCATCATCATCATCATCATCATCATCATCATCACCTCGAGTCGTTTCCTGTGGGTCGTCCCGCGAGGCCCGTGGAGAGCCTCGGGGCCCCCGAAGCGGCAGAGAGATGGGCGGGCCCCCCCCCCGTCGCCTCCTCCAGCGCCCGCCTCGGTCGCGCCAGGGTTCGACTGCACGGGAGAGTGACCCTTCGACGGCGTAACTTATTGGCGCTGGCCCGCTGGGGCCCCCAGATAGCTGAAAAAGGTGCGCGATAGCAGCGTCTTGCGCGCTCGGGTTCGGGCCCCCCCCCCGCGCGCCTCCCCGAAGTTGCGCACCAAAGGTCACTCTTGCCTAGGGTTACTCCTGCGTGGCACATGTCGTCGGGGCACGGGCCTGCCGCGGCCAGACGCCAGCAGTTCTTAGGAGGCCCGGAATCCAGTCGCCACAGAAGCCGCGCCCCGCTGCTGCCAGAAATGCCCCAGCTTCCCATCCTTCATCTCGTTCAGTACAATCAATCCGCATAGTAAGGATGAGCGACTTTCCAAGGTTCCCCGTGCATCCTTTCCCTTCGGCCCATCCTTGGTCGCTATCGCTGGCCGCGGCCCGCTCGCAAAGTGTCGACATGGCCTTCCAAGGCGCTTGCATCCCTATCTTGCGTCCTTATTATACGGGTTGACTGGAGCAAATCATGGGAGCCTTGAATACCTTCGCATCTCCACCTTTAGAGTACACTCGCGTCGACTTGCGTCTTTAGTCGACGAGATGGCGCCGATTTGCGTCGACTAGCGTCGATGAGTCTCGATACGCAGGCGCCAACAAGATGGTATGGGAAGCTCCCATGATCAGCCACGCGCAGAGGGGGGTGGAGGGAGGGGGGAGGGCTTCTTAGAAGCACCCCTGCTTCTTAGAAAGCGTGGGCCTTATCTACAGATGTAAGGCCGGCGCCTTCTAAGAAGCAGCTTCCTTCTAAGAAACCCTCCCTCCTCCCCACACCCTCTTGTGCGCGCCACCAAGATAAGCTACCACAGGAAATTTGGGGGAATGGCAGCTGCACACCTACACCGATCCTGACCAGGACCATCCTGGGCCCAAGATCTGCGCACACGTCCCCCTGACCAAGCCAGGAGGGCGTGTACGGTAGGTTCGTGCGGCGTTGGCTCGCCGGCGACGCCGGCGAAAGCGTTCAGGGTTGAATTGTGCGACGCGGAAGCACCGAGGAACACTGCAATGCCATTAAACCCGACGGAATTCAAACTTGAACGATCAGGGCAGCGATCGATTCAAGGTTGAACGATTGACGCGGTGTCGAAAATTTTTGGGCGCGTCGACACCTCACGAACCTACCGTGCACCAATCCAGGGACCAGGATGGGCCTGGCCAGCATTGGTGCAGGTGTGTAGTTGGCGCTCTCCTACCCTCCCTTGTCACCCCTCCCCCTCGACCCCCCCCCCCGCCATTCTCCTCCCCGCCCTCACCCACTCCGCATCCCTCCGTCTGTCACCATCTCGGCCTCACCCACCAGCTGTTCCTTGCTCGCACCTCTCTCTCCCTCTCTCTCGCTCTCTCTCTCTCTCTCTCTCTTTCTCGCTCTATCTCTCTCTCTCTCTCTCTCTCTATCTTTCTTTTTTATCTCTCCCTCTCTCTCTCTCTCTCCCGTGTATAAGTCACTACCCTTTATTGATGTGTTGCTCCCCGACCGACATGGTGGGCGCTAGGTTTTAGGAAAGAAACTCCCGACCATCCTCGCCCGCCCTGCACACCGCGGCCGCCAGGCCCCAGGTATCCTGGATGGCCGATGCCGTAGCCATTTTGGCTCAAGGTGTCTGGATGCATAGCTAAGCCGCCCAGCCTAGCGGTTGCCAAATAAATCTGTCACCGTGTTTCCATAGATGCACCTCCAGATGACGATCACGTCCGCGGCAGTTTTCCTTTTTCTCGCCGTCCCTGGCAACGCTGTGACTAGGGAAGCCATCCGCGAGCGGGACGTCGGATTCGGGAAGGAGTCCATCCTCGAGCAGGACCTTGGATTCGGGAACGAGTTCGAGGAAGCGGTCGAGACCGACCAGGACCAGCTGCTGGGTCGCCTCGAGGATGTGAATTTCGGGAGAAGCCTGGAGGGCAAGCCAAGCAAAAGGCGGAGCTCGTCGCAGATGCGCCGGGGGAGAGTGGAGAATTTGACGTCGACTTTGGACGAAATGCTTCCAGTACTGGAGGCAGACTTCAAGTCTAAGACCCAGCACCTCAAGGTGGCACTGGCCTACTTCAAGGAGAAGCAGCACGACATGGACGTGGCAAGGAAGGCGGCAACCGAGGCCATGAAGGCCCTCCGCCAGGAAGCAGACAGGCGCCGCAGGTCCGCTGCCGAACGCAAGGCGGCCAAGGACAAGGAGCGCCTTGCGATCCTGGAGGCGAAGCGGACCGCCAAGGAGGCGATGGTCAAGAAGGCGCAGGCCCTCATGGGCGCGAAGGGCCACGAGGAAATGGAGGGCTACCTGGGTCCCGTCTCGCTGGGGATCATGGTCGACGTGCTCATGTCCCTGCCCAACGCGGTGGTTTGAAGACCCTCGGCCGCGGTCGACAGCGTCACCCTCATTCCCCCCTCTTGGGAGGGAGGGTGGATGCGCGAGGGAGTGTGGCGGGAGGGGGGGGGATTGGGTCCAATTCCCCCCCTCCTCCATACTCTCTCGTGTGGGGAGGGGGACGGCGAAAAGGCGATGGTAGATTCAGGACAAATCGTTCTCCCCCTCCTCCCTTGAGGGGGCAGGCGAGGGGGAATGAGTGGAAGGCGGAGGGGTGGGGGTGGTTTGGTGTGGCCGTTGGGCCCACGAGGTGGAGAACCCGATCTTCATGAAGCGCCTTGGGAAGGCGAAGGATCAGATCGCGGGGTCCATCCAGGATTTTCTCAACATCACTCGGCGCAAGACGGCGAAGTTCGTGCTGGCGAGCAGCAAGGCGTCAGACGTGGAGCTCTCGTTCCTCATGGCGCGCTTCTTCCACGAAGCATCCTTCCGCGTCAAGGCAATGCAGTCAGATGGCGAGAAGGTTGCCAGGGACCTCAACGTCGTGATGCCGAGGGAACTGCGGCAAAGTTTCCTTCCCATCGTAAGGCAGCTGCGGTCGCAGGCAGTCCCGCTGCTCGTGAATGCAAGCTCTCTTGCGAGCGCGACGTTGGCCGACGCCTGCTCGCAGATATCCGATCTCATGGCCAACATCAGTAATTATCCAGCTGCCTATGGCAGGTACCGCCACCGTGCAAGCCTGGCATTCTGAGTGGCGGCGAGTCGAAGGGGCACGGCAGGCCGTCACGTGTGGCGCCTCGTGTCTCCAGGTTGGGAGGGCCGTCCTGATGGTGATGGTGATGGTGATGGTGATGACGATGGGGATGATGATGGTGGTGGTGACGATGATGAGGATGATGATGATGATGATGATGATGGTGATGATGATGATGATGATGATGATGATGGTGATCTCCTTTCGTTTGGCTCTGACATCGTTGGAAAAAATGACGGTGACGATGACGACGATGATGATGATGGTGATGATGATGATGATCATGGTGATGATGATCATGATCATGAGGATGATGATGACGATGATGACGATGATGATTGTGATGATGATGATGCTTGTGATGATGATAATGATGATGATGGTGGTGATGGTGGTGATGGTGGTGATGGTGTTAGCGATGGTAACGATGCTGATGTTTTTGTTGCTGTTGATGGTGGTGGTGGTGATGGTTATGATGATTGTGATGTCGGTGATGATAACGATGATGGTGGTGATCATGATGATGGTAATGATGCTGATGATGATGGTGGTGATGGCGATGATGATGATGATGATGATGATGATGATGATGATGATGATGATGATTGCGGTGATGATGATGGTGATGATGACGATGCTGACGATGGCGATGGTGGTGTTGGTTGTGATGGCGATGGTGATGGTGATGATAATGATGGTGATACTGATGATGGCGATGATGGTAGCGGTGGTGCTGATGATGATGCTAATGCCTATGCGTATGATGGTGGCGGTGGTGATGAGAATGTCGATGCTGTTGGTGGTGGTGATGGTGGGGATTATGATGACGGTGGTACCTAGGGGTGATGTTGGTGGTGGTGATGGGGACGGTGATGGTGTTGGTGGTTATTATGATGATCACGATGTTGATGATGAGAATGATAATGACGATGACGATGATGATGATGATGATGATCGTGGTCATGATGATGAGGATGATGATAATGACGATGACGATGAAGATGACGATGATGATGATGATGATTAAGGTGGTGGTGATGATGTGATAACGGTGATGGTGGTGGTTGTGATGGTGATGGTGAGGATGGAGGTGGAGGGAGAGGATGATGATGCATGATGGTGGTAACGATGATGGACATGACGATGATGGTGCTTGTGCCCGTGATGATGATGGTGCTGATGATCATGATGATGGTGATGATGGTGACGATGATGACAAGGAAAAAGAGGAGGAGCCACCGCAAGAGGAGGAGGACGAGGAAGGCCGTCACATGTGACACCTTTCCTCTTTACTGTTTGAGCAGCTCCCATGGAACTCGGTCGGTCCACGCTGGGCTACCTTGTCCTCGTGTGAGGCTGTCTTGTGGGTCCGTTGGGCCGTCGTGGGGCCCTCTTACGCCGTCTTGAGGCTCCATTGGGCCGTCGTGGGGCCCTCTTGGCCGTATGGTGGTGTCTTGTGGGGCCGTCTCGGGCAGCCGAACGGCATTATGAGGCCGTCATGGGTGTTTCTTGGGCCTTCGTGGGGCTTCTTGGTCCATCTCGGTCCCAGCCGGCGGTGCGAACGACGTTGTGTGGACGAGCAGGCCAGCGGGCGCCGCCGGCCGACACGGCGCCTTGGCGGCGCCCGCGCCTCGCGCGCGCGAGCCGCGCTCGTCCTTGCCAACCGAGGTGCAGTTGTAGGCCCACAACAGGCGTGGGGCGGCTGGGACGCGGGCAGCGACAGCGCGCACAGCAGCAGCGCATCCCCCCCCACAGTCCTGACGAAGGAGCGACGCGGGCCTCCGAGTGACGCGAGAGGTGGGCCACGCCTTCCTTCCTTGTGAGTGCCACAAAGAAGTCCCTCTTGGGGGGCCTCTTGAGCAGTCCTCGGTACACCGTGGATGCTTCCTGGGCCGCATCGAGCTAACCCAAGCCCGAAAAGGCGAGAATGCGAATATCATTCAGAAACCAAAGGAGTTCAATGATTTTGGTGTCTTCGGACCCTGTTGGAGGTCCTATCGTGGCCCTTTTGAGCCTTCTCGGATGCATCCTGGGCCGTCTTGAGGCCATCTGGGGCCGCCTCTCGGGCAACTTGGGCCGTCCTCGAGGCATCTTGGGCCGTCTTGGCGTCTTTGGTTGTCTTCATGGGCCGTCTCGGGAACTCGGGGCGCAGATCCATCGTGCTTTACGAGGGCCGTGGCCTCGGGAGCGAGGCCCCATCTTATTGTACGAGGGATCGTGGCGTCGGGAAGGGGGGCGACGTGCAGGGAACGCGGCTGAGGGGGAGGGGCTCCCGTTATCAGGATACAGAAGCCCCACCAGTCAGCATTTGGCATGATTCCACGCCTCAACGTGCACAAAGCACGGTGGCAGATAATACCAAGCTCAACACGCTGCATTCCGCTCTGCATAACGTCTGGCAGATTTCTGAGTTGATGTTGCCCCACATGAGCAGGATCTACCCCATGAAAACCGCGGTCATCGACACCGTCAAGGACTTCATGTCCCTGGCAACCACTCAGGCTGCTGGTCTTCAGGAGGCTGCAGACGAGATCGTGACGAATGTTGGCCCTGTCGTCTCCGAGCGTATGCAGTGCACGTGGAGCGCTGCAAGCACGACGCCATACAACATTCGCTTTATTACGTTTCTGGCTGCGTTGGCCAGCTATTTCTTTTTGTAGGGCCCGTGAGCTTGTCACGCCTACCAAGCATGCGGAGCCCACCACATTCACATGCCTTAGCGAGTGCATCGGCGCCGCTTTGGGTGCTAGCAAATTCGCCCTGGATGACCAACTGGATGTCGCCGCCGTCTGCAAAAAACATGTACCCATCATGGCCCATGAGTATCCCACCTCAGGGCCTCGACAAAGGCTGGTATAGGAATAGGAATAAAATCAGGCGCCGATAATAGCATACGTTCATGATATGCATAAGGAACAATCGCGAACAACCCACACCCAGAACACACATCCAGAGCAGGAAATACGTAACATGCCAATAGAAGAAATGTGTTTCGAATGGCCTTCGGCCCCTCCCGCCACGGTGCCTGGGTTGTGGGTATGCAGTCTATTGGATATTCGTTGGGATATCGTGGGGGGCCTCTCGGGGGCCTCTTGAAGGCAGCTCGGACGCCTCTTGGGGGCTTTCGTACGGCCTCTTGGGGCCTCTGTTAGGCTTCTTGGGGACCTCTTGACATCGTGTGAGCTTCCTGGGGCCTCCTGGGCGCCTTCTGGGCGCCTCTTGGGGCCTCCTGGGGGCAACTTGGGGCGGAAGGCTCGGAGTTTCTTTTCGTACTCCCTCGCTTGGGCCCCATTTTGTGGTCGTATTGGCGTCCTCGTGGGCAGTTTTGGGCGCCTCTTCGGCGGTCGTGGGGCCCCATATTGGAGGCTTCTTTGGGCGTTTTGGATGCCTTTGGGGCCACCTGGGGGTCACCTTGAGCGTATTGGAACGATCGTTCGGCGATTCGCGGCATTCTTGGACCTTATTGGGGGCTTATTGGGGCCATCTTGCCCCGTCTGGGGGCCCTCTTGGGCCCGATAAACTCATGCGACAACACTTTCCAGAGCCCACGGGGCACGCGGGAAACCCCAGGGGGCACGCGCCACGGGGCATTTTAAGTTTCAGCGTCGGTTTGACTTGATTGTCCGATTTGTTTTTCGCTGTGTCCCTCCCTCTCTCTCTTTCTCTCTCTCTCTCTCTCTCTCTCTCTCTCTCTCTCTCTATATATATATATACATATCCCTCCCTTTCTGGACAGTCCTGCACCCCATCAGCACCATTCAACTTTGTGTTCAGGTCAAGTTGTGCTGCTGACACATCTGCTGAGTGGTGGAACGATGGTGCTGCAAATATCGATGGTGCAAAGACGACCCCACATGACATCCCTCTGAGGCAGCGTTGCCAGATGACACTCCTTCATGAATCCTTTTGTTCGCCTGCGTCATCTTCATCCTGCTCTTCCTGATTTCTTACGGGACATCTTCCGCGATCTCCAATTGTAGCAGAACCAGCGTATGAGGTTGCCCACCATGTAGGTACAGTGAAGTTGTGAAGTCGTTGCCGCGATAGTCTTACATTCGTTAGCCGTTTGCAGAAGTGAAGTGGATCCGACCAAAGGAACATCCACCAAAAATATAAGACAGTCATTCGAGGACCAGGCGCTGTAGGTTGCAAGGACGCCATAACAACCACTGCAAATCATAGCCGCCGTTGTACGTGACATTCTTAGCGAGGCGGATGGTGAGGAAAAGAAGCCGCCCACGGCCAGATTGCGCACCTCACATTGGGATGTGTAGCTTGGCCCTGGGCGGCCGACCCTCCTCCCCCCCCTGGACCCCTCGCCCTCCACACTCGTCGTGTTCATGTTCCTCCCCTCTCTTGTCCTACTCCTGCTCCTACGCCTATCCTGTTCCAACTCCTCCCCCTTCTGCAGAGATTCTCCACGTGGCTACTGCTCCCCTCTCCCCCCGAGAAGTCCCCTTTATGAGGGAGCGCGCCTCCATCCGCGTGTTGTTGTTCTGACTCCTTGGATGCTTGCGAGCTGGATTGTCGCATGTGCTTTTCCAATCCGAGCGTTCTCTGTTCGTCCAACATGGTGTTCCCGCTGCAGCGCGGGCCTCATTTGGGGGGCTCCCGCTCGGGCCGAATCGTGCTACCGCTGCAACGCTGGCCTCGTGTCCGCGCTTCTGCTCGTTCCGGATCGTGCTCCCGCTCCAGCGTTGGCCTCATTTCCGCGCTTCTGCTCGTTCCGAACCGTGCTCCCGCTGCAACGCTGGCCTCATTTCCAGTGCCATGCCATGGCATGCAATGCAATGCTATGTTGTGTCCCACTGTGCGATGCCATGCCTTCTGCTGCAATGATATGATATGCAGTGCTTGACCTTACAGTGCCACGCCGTGCTCTGTCATGCTACGCTTTGATCGTCGACGCCATGCTATGCCATGCAATGCTATGCCATGCAACGACATCCGACTGTGCGAGTAGAGAGGAGATCTACGCCACGGAAAGGAATGGGAAAGAGGGGTAGGACGTCAGATAAGACGCTTGCGCACTTAGCTTGCCTCATCCTCCTTTCCTTCTCTCTTCTCCCAGATCATCCTCCCTCCACTATCTCTCCACCCTGCCTCCTCCCTAATTCAGGGTGAGGCAGGAAACGAGGAAGGAGGAGGAGGCGGGATAGGAGCAGTAATAGTATGTACTTAAATGATCTTCCTCATCACCTGGTGGGAAAAAAAACGCGCGAAACCGAAGAACGCACTGGGAACGGACGTCCGAGCGACGGCAAGGCCAGGCATCGTAAAGAGCGTTCAGGCGGTCGAACCAGAGCGAACCAGAGCGGGGGGGGGGGCGGCCGGGCGCCCCGCTCCGCAGTCGTGCGCCTCGGCAGGGACGGGCGCGGCCTCCTCGCGGCGACTCCGTCAGGAAGAGGCAACCCATCCCGTCGTTGCAAGTCGGTATTTTCGGATTCCCGGATTCCAATACACTTCAAGCGCCTTCTTACTTCAATAATCGAGTGGCTTCACCTCTTCCGTCCTCCCAAGGGGGCGGTCGGAACCCAATCTACGTTCAACGCCTTCCTACTTCATGCTCCTACCTGCTTCCTCTGACCGATGGGCGAGGCCGCTCTGGGGCATCCGCCGCAGCCGCCGCCCGGTTTCTGTTGTCCTGCGTCGCGGAGCAGGCTGCCCCGTGAGCGTTGCCCGACTCTTCGAGAAATCGGCCCCAGCCCTTCTGCTTGGAGGCGCGCGCGCTCGTGCCGATGCCCGCCGTGGTCGTGGCCGCCGTGCCGTCGAGCCACCTTTTCGGCCTCGTCGTGGGCGCCGAGCCCGAGCGTGGCCCCTGCTGCGGCCAGCCTCGGAGGCCAGAGCCCTGCCTTTGGCGCGGAGGCAGGCGCGCCAGGGCCGATGCCCTCACGGGAGCGGTCGTCGCCGTCGTCGTCTGGCTCGGCGGAGATCGCCGGGCGCGTTCCACGACTCGCAGAGTGCCTCCTCGCAGAGGTCCGAAAACCAGATGTCTTATTCTGTGTCACGTATCGTAGACCCCCACAGCGGATCCAGGCCATTCGCGAGCAGCTACATGGCGAGTAGTGGAAAGCGCTCGTCCAAAAAAGAGGTGCCCCGTTGTGTCCGCCAGGGGGCGCGCTCCTCGAGGAGCACGGCGCACGTCTTGCGGCGGGGCCCGAAGTGAAGGTCCCCAGGCGGAGTCCCTCTCGGGGTCGTGCTCCAGGCCGCAGTCTGAGACGGAAACAAAACACGATTTTAGCGTCGGCGGCTAGGCAGGGGACGTCTGCGCTGGCGATGAGTGGCTTGAACGGGGGTACCGTTGAGCCGAGCTGTGCCACCGTGCAAGAGGAGGGGGGAGGAAGGACGCGGCCGAAGGAAAACGGGGACGGGGCGGGCGGCTCAGGGGTCAGAACGCTCCCCGAGCGTGGCGAGACGGGAACAGAGCACGCCGACGAAGATCCGGGGGTCCCTGCTGCTGTTTCTCCGAACGCCCTCCTGGGCGAGAAGGCGCGAGGCGGGGGCCGCCCGGCGGCCCCCCCGTCCTTTGGGCCTCCCAGGTGGGGTCGGAGCAGATGGGGCCAGAGGATCGTGCCGCACCGCCGACATATAAGAAGAAGAGTAAGAATGAGACTAAGAAGAAGAAGAAGA